CATGGCAGAGCGAACGGACTAGGGAAGTGTGGGGGCTCCTCAGGCCCCCTCGAGTCTCTGATCACAAATGTAAACTGAGTTGGGGAGGTGTTAAGTCAGGAGCTGGGTGGAGGAGGCTGGGGGTGGAGAACAGGCTGGGAAGGTGGGGGTGTGTGGAAGGGAAGGGTGCATGAGATGGACCACGGACGGTGGACGGCGGATGGACCGACACCTGTTGGGTAAGGAGGAAGCCAGGGTGGGAGGTGCGTGAGGACCTGTGGGCAGTGAGGGGATCAGCTCATCTGGCTGCAGCTGAGCGGTGGGAGTCAGTGCTGCGGGGAGGGAGCTGGGTGGACCATGGAAGAGAGCGGCCAAGCAAGAGTAGAGGCCAGGACCTTCCGAGGAAGAGGTCAAAGAATGGAGGGGGCAGGGCCAGGAAGGACTGGTGCGTGGACAGTGAAGTCAGCAAGCATGATGGCAGGAAGGACAGGAGCTAAATTCACCAGGGGCTGCGGGGGGGGGGGGGGGCAGGCTGGCCATGACCACCATGAGGAGGGATAAGCACAAGGATGTGCGTACAGGGGCACACAGTAGGTGCTTCCATGAGTCGTATTTCCGTGCCGAGAATGTGGACCCTGGCATCCTGGGACAGGACTTAAAATCAGGGTGTGCCACGGGATTTGCGTGCCTCTGTTTCTAGAAGGCGTGTCTGCAGGGCCTGCCTGTTGCCCTCTTCCTGCAGGATCCAGACACCCTCAGGTTTGTCCTGGGCCTGCAGAGTGGCCCCAGCGGGCCTGTCAAAAGCAGCAGGGGTGGACAGAGAAATGGGCAGACGGGAACTCAGGCTGAGCCCAGGAGCCAAGGGTGAGGCCAAGGACACAGGCCTGGCCCCCTTCCCAGGGTCGGGGGCAGCTCCTGGCTGTCGGCTGTGATGTCTGGTGCATTTCCCCAGCCTGCTGGCCAGGCCCATCATGCCGACCCCTGGGGCAGAAGCAGGGAAGGAGCTGAGCAGGGTCAGTTGGTGTGTCAGAGGGACACCCCCGGGGTGAGGGTTCCCAGGGCAGCCCCTGCCTTGCAGGGCTGGCAGCCTCATGCCCTGTGGCTCTGAGCAGCTGGGGATGCCCCTCTGCCCGGTTCCCTTCTCGGGGTAGCGGCACCATGGCCGGCTTCCCTGGGGACGTCTCCTGTGACACCTGCCACGTGCCAGCTGAGTGGTCAGAAGCCTGAGCTCTGGCCCTGTTCTTCTCACGTGTGGCTGCCGCCGCCCCCCCCCCCCCCCCCCCGGATCTGAGCCTCAGCTTCTGGTCTGTGTGGAGGAATCCTAAAACCGGCCTCGCTGCTGGGCACGCACGTGACCGTGGGGGAGTGAGCATGAGGACGGCACGAGTGGGAGGCAGAGTTTCGTGTTTTCCTCTGTGGTGGCCTCACTGCAGCCTGGTTCGGTTTCTGTTCCTTTCTCGAAGCTTTTGGTGGGAGGGGCAGGATCATGATCTGGGCTGGTCCCTCCCAGATGGTTGAGACACACATTTTAAGGCGCACCCCTGCGTTCTCGCCTTCCTTCACTCAGCATCGGTGCTTGCCCGCTGTGTGCCGGACAAGGAGGACAGAATTTCCAGTGATGCTGGTCTGAGAAGGAAAGCGCTGGGGGCCATTAGCAAGTCCTTCCTTGCATTTTTTTTGTCACTTGGATCGGCTCCAGCTGCCTTCCCTGGGAGATGGGAGACCCGCTGTCCCTGGAGGCCTGGCCAGGCAGGGCGGACCGGACAGCCTGTCCTTCTGGCAAGCAGGGTGATGCAGGTGCACTGAGAGAGCAGGGCCTGCACACAGTAGGTCCCAGGGGCAGGATGGAGGGGGCACCTTCATCCTGGCAGTACCCCAGGTAGTACCCCGACCTGGAAAATCCCTCAGAAACCTCTTCCTTGGCTGGCGTCCAGCTCTGCCCCACCCCAGCATCCTTCAACAGCGGTCAGGTTGCTGAGACATTGCCTCTCTGTGCAGCGGCCAAGTTCACTGTTTGACCTTGTTTTGGACCAGGGAATTTGAACTATGGCCGTCTCATTATGGCCTGTCGTGGAACAAGTCATCTAGGCGTCCAGGCATGGCCGTCTCCTCCGTGACTCGGGCCGCTCTGAGCTCGGGGAGCCCTAGGACAGTGTCTCCATTGGATGTACACCCCCATAGTGGTGCCTTATTCTGGGGCCACTGGCTCTGACCAGTGGGTCGCAGGGGCGCCCCTTGGGGTGGAGCCGAGGTGGGGGAGCCCTGTGGGTCAAAGGGGTACACACAGCCCCCCTCATTGAGGGTTCCTCTGGCTGTGCTCCAGGGGAGAAAGGTAATAAGGAGCAACTCGCACTTACTATTGGTATAAATCCCACAATCAGGAAAATTGCTTCAATTGCTAAAAAACGCTGGTGGGAAAGTCCATTTATTTTTCATTTTTCTTGTGCACTTGCCCCCCTTACGCATGAATCACTGTCGGTATGTAGATTAAATTTATACCCCCGTTATCTTTCATGTCTCTGGGGCTCTGGTGTCAGCCGGGTTTCTGGTTACTGAAAGCCACAGTCCACTTCCTCGTGGGGAGACATGTAGTCCTCTGCCAGAGGGTTCTTTCCTCTGTTCCAGAGCCTCCCCTCGGCCCTCCTCCCCTCCACGAGATCAGGCTTGCTTTTTGGAAAACCTCATTCTTCTCTGGAGCTGCGTGTGCTCCAGCACCTGCCGCAAAGGATGTAGACACTGGACTTTTGTGTTTTCTGCGAGAGGGCTTGCGGGGAGCATGCTGAAGGCGCGATTTCGTTTCTTAAATAATCTTTTTTTTTTTTTAAAGATGTTATTTATTTATTTGACAGAGAGAGATCACAAGTAGATGGAGAGGCAGGCAGAGAGAGAGAGGGAAGCAGGCTTCCTGCCGAGCAGAGAGCCCGATGCGGGACTCGATCCCAGGACCCCGAGATCACGACCTGAGCCGAAGGCAGCGGCTTAACCCACTGAGCCACCCAGGCGCCCCGCGATTTCGTTTCTAACACTTGCTTTGTGAATTGGCCTAGAGAGGATCCACACACTGCAGGCATTTCGAAGACACACACTAGAGACACATGCACACACAGGCTTCTTTTCTCTTTGTCCCTCAGACACACGCACGCTCCTGCTCACAGGGGATAGAACCGGCTGCCTGCCTGCCTTCCTCTTTAACGTGGGTGACCCGGTTACACAGCAGCTGTGGAAGAAGCCTGGGTTCACCTGGATTCTGGGAGGTGTAGAACTTTCTAGAATGGACCGTATGCTTTGTTCTCCACCCTCAGATTTAGCCGTCTCTGTGTACATACTCTATAAACTGCGGTTCGTCATCAGCGGATCTATTCATTCAACAAGTGTTAGTTCTGATTCTGGGTCCCATACCCCTTTGAAAATCTGATGAAACCCTTCATGATGCACAATTCTGGATGAGTCGGGGGTAGTCTGCAGAGTCCACGCTGAGCTGTGGGCTGGAGAACCCTGCGCTGGAGGCCTGCTCCTGTACCCCCCAATCCCATGGCCACAACAAGGTCTGGGGGTCCTTCCGAGCCAGACGCCCCAGCTCCTCACACCCCAACACTCCTCTCAGACCTCGTCTCAGAAGAGCAGTCCCCTGGGCCACACTTCGAGACTTGGAGCCCCCCACGTCTCTCTCTGCGACACCGCGTGGCTGGGTGGGGAGCTCCCGAAACAGCAGCTGGCCGCGCCCGCTCCGGGCCCCTGGCGCCCCCCAGCAGGTATCATTACCGCATAAGAGACCCATCATTCTGCATTAATCTGGGATTCATCATGATAGCCATGACCATAATTAATTTATTTGGTATTAATGTGGATGAAATATGTACTGTCCTTTCAGGGGAAATCAGGCTGCCTATAAGCATTAGTTAAAAGGACCATTAAAATCAAACCTTCCCCAGATCCATTAGGCGAAGTCTTTCATCCTGAAGAAGATAAAGTTCTGCTGTGTGAAATGTCATGAATAATTAGGTTGATTGCTGTTTTAAACTCTGCCCCTGCCTCTCCAATCCCTCCCGCCTCCCTCCCGAAGCAGCCAGGGCTCACCTGCCGGGGAGCACCCCCTTTCAGCACCCGTGTCTACACTGGCCCCAGGTTCCCCTCTGGCCTCTATGACCACCTGGATGGCATGGGGAAGTGGGTTTCAGTGATCCCACTAGAACCTACTTTCAGTGGGTCTCCTTCTCCCCACTTCCCACCCTGGGCCCAGGGTGGGGGCAGGCGCCTTCCTCTGGCCTCAGCGCTGGCCCGGAAAGGTGTAGACCAGAGAGCGAACCGAAGAAGCGCTGTTCAAACTGAGGTCTGCAGACTCCTTGCCCAGAATGGTGCAGGGGTGTGCAAAATGCAGATTCCTGGGCTCACCTCAGACCAGCGCATCTCAGGGGCTGTGCATGGGAAGGGGATGGAGGCTGCATTGGAGGCCTTTGGTGTGTGTGGGACGAAGGGGAGGGACAGGAGAGAGGAGCTTTTGGGAGAGCCCCGCTCTTACGGCCATAGCCAGGTTTCTCCAGGATTGCCGTGTGGACACCGGTGTGTGGGGTCTCCTCGATCCCCTCATGGGAGCGCGCGAAGAGGTAGGTGTTCGCTGGATGCCTTTTGCACACCAGCCCAGAGCACACGCAGTTGCACGGTGGGGCTGGTCATCGAGGCCTCACCGGAAGCTGCAGACCAGGGTGCAGAGGCTGACACAGCCTGCTCAGAGGGAACTGGGCGTATGGATCGGGCAAGTGGGAGCCCAGGTATGTTGGCCTTAGAAGACGCACTGGAAACTCGCTCTGATGCAGCCTCATTTGGTGGTGAGAGAACCTGGGCCGCAAAGCCATGGGGCTAGCCGGGGACCGAGGGGACGGTAAGCACAGGGGCTGGGGGACGCAGGCCTTGATGCACATGGACAGCACAGAGCGGTGGGTGGGAAAGGGGCTGATGTGATGGGAAGTGGGGGACCGTCCCCCTCCCCGCTGTGCTCTAATCCCTTCGTGCTACCCCGACAGGCGCTTCGGCACGAAATGCACGGCCTGCCAGCAGGGCATCCCCCCGACCCAGGTGGTGCGCAAGGCCCAGGACTTCGTCTACCACCTGCACTGCTTCGCCTGCATCATCTGTAACCGGCAGCTGGCCACGGGGGACGAGTTCTACCTCATGGAGGACGGGCGGCTGGTGTGCAAGGAGGACTACGAGACGGCCAAGCAGAACGGTAAGCCAGGCCTGCTGCTGACCTCGGTCCAGGCCGAGCCCTCCGCCGCGTCCTGCCAGCGCCGAGCTGCCCTTCCCCTGGAGCCCTGCGCACACCCTGCCGCTCTGAGAAGCTTCCGCAGACCCCTGCGGGACGGTTCCCATCACCCCCTATCCCTTGGCCCTGGCTGGCCTCGCTGCAGCCTCAGTGGGATGACGGGGCCTGAGAGCGGGCCTGGCCCCCACATCAGTCGACGGCTGAAGAACAGTCAGGACCTTGTGCTCTTCGTGGCGGTGGCTCCTGGCCTGGCAGGGGGCCTGGGACAGGGCGCTGTCTACCGTGGACACCGGGTTCTCAGCAGTCTTGTGTACTGGGGTGCACGTGAACCTTGGCGCTCCCACACCTCAAAGGCTTCTGTCAGTGAGAGCCGGAGCGAGGCCTATGTCAGCTCACACTTCTGTTTCCCTCTCCGACTGCAGGCCTGTCGAGGGCAGGGTCCCCCCTTTCCTTGAGAGGTGAGGACCCCTCGTGTCTCCTGAAGTCCCTGAGGCAGGAGCCAGTCTTCACACTCTGAGAGACTCCAGTCAGCCACAGAACGTTCCGCCCATCCTGCCCTCCCCTGAGCCCCCTCAGCCTATTGAATGGGGTCTGCCGTGTGGAGACCTCCACAAGGCTGACCCTGATGTCAGGGCCCCAGGGTGAGCTGCTCTGGCCTTCCAGGGCCATGCTCCCGAGCAGCCCAGGGCCTTTCCAGGACCCAGACAGGGCTGCGGCCCCGCAGGGAGGCCAAGCTCCCTCCCCTGCAGCGCCCCCTCCGGCGGCTCACTCACAGCTGTGCCCCCAGAGGCTGCACCCTTCACCCTGGCTCCAGACTTGGCATTTGGCCAAACCCTACCTGGGAATCTCAGACGCACAAACTCGCAAACATCAAGGTCATTTGCCTTTGACTAGAGTTTTTATCAACTCAGGGTGTTACTGTAAAAAGCAGCTCTCAATGGCGCTGGGCTTGATGGGGGGAAAAAAGAGCAAAAATCAATTTCATGCATCTCCTTCTAGATCTTTCCTGGGCCCCCATGCCCATGTGTTACAGAGATCTGATCCATACATGGAGAAATGAATTTGAGGGTTTTGTGGTGGCGAGGAGGCAGAGGTATACGGGCCGTTTTGGTGAGGCAGCTGGAGCCCAGCTTGGCTTTGGTGGGAGGGGAGCGGGACACCACTGCAGGGATGCCTGAGTCAGAGGTTTCCACCCTCCTCTCCCAAAACCCGCACAGTGCTGGCCTTTCGGGATGGACAGGCCTTCAAGTCCCTGTTCTCTTCCCGGGGGCTCGGCAAGCCCATTCCCAGGCTCTTTGCCTTAACGGATTCATCTGCTCTGGTTCCTTAAAGCTCCCCCGATGCTGCTGCTTTGGAGTCAATTATGATGTCAGAGAAGATTAGGGCATCTTGTCAGGGATAAGCCATCAAAGCAGATGGGCTCAGAGATCCCAAGCTGCCTTTGGAACTCCCCAGAGTCCTTCCCCAGAGATACTAAGAATGTGTGACCTCCCTCTGGGCCGGCGGCTGCTCTCATCCTCAGAGGCCTTGTTTAGACCCTGAGCACTCATGGCCTGGCACCCACCTCTGCTGGGGACGGTTCAAGAGGTGGGGAGACCAGCTGGGAGGCAGGAGTGACGGCAGAGCCAACACTTCTACCGGGGATTCTTTGTGCCGCACCAGACCTCTGGAGGACACGGGACTTGGCATCAGAGGCTGGTGGATATCTCTGCTCAGTCACTAACTTGGGGGCCCCCTGGCCAGCTGTGTAACTGGTTGAGCTTTGGCTTCTCAGCTCCGTACTGGGGGTGGGGAGTAGCACCTGCCACACAGGGCCGTTCCCTGAGGTTTGCATAGGACGCACCTGTGGAGAGGGAGGCTGAATGAGGGTGAGAGGCAGGAGGAAGAGGAATGTCAACGGGGGGGGGGGGGGGGGGAGATCTGCTTTAGGATTTCAGGTAGCCGAAGGTCACACAGTTTTCCCGACTCCCGCCTCCGGCTGCCGGTGGGGCAGAGGCCAGTCCATCCTGTGAAATCCGGGCCACCTGAGTGCAGCGGGGACCTTTGTCTGCATTGGGACATTTGGTTCTTTGTATGTTTTAACTCCTCCTTGCTGATCTAAACCCTCTTTTAGGCTTACAGTTCCCTCCCCTTGGGCTACACAAAGGACCTATTATCAGCTATTTGTACCTTAGTGTGAATGATTTTGTTCATTTGTTACATCTCCCTGGATATTTGCATTTTCAATATAATGAGGTTGCATTTTATGCCAGGGACAAGTGCTAGGAGACCCTGCATAATTCAAAACCAACATATTTTAAGACTAATTTTCCCATAGGAATTAATGTAAAAAGTAGGAGCGGGGGGATGTATTCTGGAAGCACATAAATCCATACCTGGTGAAGTGTATCTTTGCCTTAATGCTACTTTTTATTTTCTCAGCACTATCTCTAATACCTTGCAGAATGCTCTCTCCTAAATTAACAGCCGAGGATATCATGGTCTCTCTTGGCCTTCTTCATAGCGTTTTATCACATTTAACTTCCGTACCAAAGTTATTGATTTTTGGGTACATTTTTCAGCACGAGCCCTGCCACCACTACTTAATGAATACTTGGATGACATTGTTATAGGATATAAAAAAGATTTTAAATTATAATAACAGTGAATGTTAAAATAACAGCATAATAGTCCCCATAATCGCAGGAAGAAAGTCCTGTGCACAGAGACAGCAGTTCTGAGCCCCTGGGCCACCAACCCAGGATGGCGGGTAGATCCCAGTGGCCGCGGTGAAAAGAGTTTCTAAAATCACTAGGCCGGTTTATTTAAAAATTAGACAGTTCTTGAGGAATCACATTTTTTTGCTGGTTTCATTATTTCACATTTTAGATCTGAAGACCATAGAGATGTATTCAAAGTGCCCTATTACATAGTGGCATCAAATGCTGTCCACTGTCATCTGTATAAATAGGGGCAGAAGGGACGGATTCCTTTCGATAGAATTTAAAGTAGAGAACTTTGGAGGTCTTCCTCAGTCTCTGCCGTGGTGGCTCTGGAAGCCTTATTCTTTGGATGCAGGGCTCCAGAGAGGGAACGGGTGGCAGGGAATCAAAGACAGTGATGGCTCTGCTGGAGCAGAAAACAGCCCAAGGGGAGACAACTGGGGACTTTGTCCTCCCTCTGCTGTGGGCGTGACTGCCGTGCGGACTCGGGCCATGTGCCGCCCCTTTGGGGCAGGCGCTGGTGCCCTGGGCTTCAGAGCAGGGAGGGGACTCGCCCACGTCACTCCGTCGTTCAGCAAGAAGGCTGAACCCAGGTCTTCCAGCTGCAAGAAACACCTTTCGGAATTGTCGTGAGGGTTGTTTGCACATGAAGTTCTCAGATCACGCCAGGCACATAGTAGGTGCTTAGCAAATGTTGGCTGTTATTGGTCCTAAGAGAGGGTTTTCTTAAATGGAAAGGAAGGTAGGAATATAGCAGTGACATTTTAAAGGACCCAGAGAGAGGGAACCCAGAAGACCCACAGAGCCAGGGACGCAGTGGCGGCCTGTGGACTCGGGGTGCCCCGCAGGGAACGGCGGAGGTCTAGCGCTGGGAGGGGAGACAAGCCGTCTGCCCTGGCTGTGTGCTCCCGGGCACGTCCCGGTCTTTGCCTCTGACCGCCGGGAACTCCAGGCTTATCTGCTCAGAATCCACGGAAGACTGGGATCGGGCAGTGTGTTGTCCTGAACCCTCCTCAGACCAGTGGTTTTCAAAAAATATTGACTCTGGCCCCGAGTAAGCAGCTCGTTTTCCGCCCGGCATACAGTGAGCACTAAGCAAGTCCTGTGGAGCCACACTGGCCCTCGCTGATGCCATCCGTCGTCTGACACTTGCCCTCCCCGTGTCTGATCCACTCAACTGACAGTGCGTCCCATAGCGGGGTCCGACCCATGATGGGTGAATGCTGCTTAGATGACTAGTGAATGCACTGGTCATCCCTTCTGAGCTCAGGGTGGCCTCCGAAAAGGGACCTGGGAAGTGGGGGGCTCCCGAGGGCAGGAGGGGCAGAGGTGTCTGGGGGCAGCCCAGAGCACACGTCATTCGTGTGTCATTCGCCCTCACCGCCCACAGGACGTCCAGCCAGAGTGTGTGCCGTGACGGAGGCACATGGGACTGTACCCCTTCCGTCTGGTGGGAGCCCCTGCGTGGCTGGGCTGGCGGGGCACGGGCGGGGCGGGGACCAGAGCGAGGGACTATTGTCCTCACTTTTCCGTGACTCGGGAAGGCCTGTGGTGAGGAGTGGGCTCCGTGGGGGGTCGTTCCCCATTCTTCCCCATGGCTCTGCCCATGGTAGGCGAGACTGCAGGAGGAGAGGGGGAGGCGGATGAGCCCCAGATGCTTGGGGCAGGCAGAACCCGGTAAGGAGTGGTCTTCCCTGCAGACGACTCGGAGGCCGGAGCCAAGCGGCCCAGAACCACCATCACCGCGAAGCAGCTGGAGACATTAAAGAGCGCCTACAAGAACTCCCCCAAGCCCGCCCGGCACGTGAGGGAGCAGCTGTCCTCCGAGACCGGCCTGGACATGAGGGTCGTTCAGGTGAGACACCGGGCCCCTGGCCGCCTCCACCATCTGGGGGTCCCAGGCCTGAGCCGTCCCGCTGGGCCGGGGTGTGATCTGTGCCATCTACGCTGTGCAGGAGGGAGGCCCATGGAGTGCCCTGGGAGCTGGGACCCGGGGACGCTTGTGGAAGCAGAGCCGGAGGCAGAGGGAGTAGCGGGCACATCACACTCCAGGCCCTGAGCTCGACCGACGCTTCAGTGGGGACCCTGGGGGCCTTGGGTTTGCGGCGGACACCCCCCGAGTGGGTCCCTTGTGCTCGTGTGGCAGGTTTGGTTTCAGAACCGAAGGGCCAAGGAGAAGCGCCTGAAGAAGGACGCGGGGCGGCACCGCTGGGGGCAGTTCTACAAGAGCGTGAAGCGGAGCCGGGCGGGCGGCACGCGGGAGAAGGAGAGCTCTGCTGAGGACTGTGGGGTCAGTGACAGTGAGCTGAGCTTCCGAGGTGAGCAGGGCTGCAGGCGCCAGGCCGAGGCCTTCGGAAAGGCCCCCGGGGATCAGTAGCTCTCGACAAGCAGGAGGGATCTTTCTTGAGGCCTGGACAACTGCCTCCTGAAGCCAGGCTCTTCCCGGTGACTTGCAGTGAAGGGGGGCGGGCGGGTGGCAGTGGCCCTTTCAGACGGGACAAGGAGTAGGACACACAAGAGCTCTGCTGCTGAAGTGTGGAAGCTGGGATCCCCAGGACCGTGGGCCCCAAGGCCTCCCCTCCTTTCCTGCGGACTGGGGCTCTCCCACTGGCCCGTGCAGCTGGGAACAGACAGCCGTGTCTCAGCCCCAGTCCTTGGTCCCTCTCTTGCATTCCCCTCCCTCTCGGGGGGACCCTGGCCTTCCTCCCATGATCCCCTGGAGCAGCCCCTGTCCTCGTCTCCTGGTGGCGGGGAGGACGTGCTCAGGAGGCCCTTTGCCCTGGGAAAGCACCACAGTGAGCCCATGCGGGATGGGGACAGGTCTCACTTCTGAAATCCCTTCCCCACCGCTCACTCCATCCTGGCCCCCGCACAGAAGCTTTGCCGCATGCGCTACATTCAAGTCCGTGTGTCAGCAAAATGGCAAATCGCTGCATGTCTGGGATCCCAAGGTTGTTTGCAAACAGCCATAACTATTCTCATTTACTGAGTCCTCAGCGGTGGAAGGTCCTCTGTTGTGGGTGGATAGAAAGAATAGGCAGTGGGTGGGGTGGGTGTGGCTCAGAAATCTGGTTGCCAGTTGTGGCTCTCTCAGATCCATTCGCTTTTCTTGAGCCTCAGTTTCTACATCTGTAAGTGGGGAACAACTACATCCTTGCCCATCTCAGTGCTGTTGTGGGGTTTGATGAACACAACCGACTGTGGATGTGTTTGGGTGAAGCTCAGCACAGTGGTACACTTGGAAGTCATGACTGTCCCCACAGGGAGCCTGTGGCACCCACAGAGGGTTGTATGGAATGACAGGTGTAGGCGAAAGGCCAGATAATGGCCATTTTCCAGTGGAGCTGAGCCTTCACCGTTCTGCTCCCCTTTAAAGAGCATGAGCTCTTTCCCCCTTTTCATTTTCTGGATGGAGTTGGCAGGTGGGGGGCCAGGGGTGGGCAGACCTGGGGCAGGTTGTAGAAGGAATGGGTGTTGATGTCTAGTCTGGGGAGGCTTGAGAGGAGCTGATGCACGGGCCCAGGGTGGGAATAGAGAAGGAAGTTCGTGGGGCAGAGGATGGAACCAGCTGGGGGCCAGAGCATGGTGCCCTGAAAGGACTGTTGCTTACTTGGGAGGTCTGCCCTCTGGGGTCCTGGGAAGGGGTCAAGAGCCTGTGCTCCCCTTCCTGTTGTGTTGGTGGAGTTAGGAAAGCCATTTAGTCTGATCCGAGCTGCCAGAATGAACGTCTGGAACAGGCGGGATCGTTGCGTCTTGCTTTGTAGCTCTTTTCTGCTGGGCGCAGGTAGGACCCCCATGTCATGGATCTCTCTGGGTAACTACAGAACTCTTCTTTCTTAAGATTAAAACCGCTCGCCTCTGTTGGAGAGATGCATTCTTCCGGGTAGCACAGGTTCCGTTAGAAGCCCTTAATGAAATTCTTCAAGAAACAAGAAGGCCCATTTGCCTTCATCAAGTCAATACTTTGTCCCCAGTGAAGAGCGTATTCGAGAGAGAGAGAGAAACCGAGTCCTTCAATACTGAACTGCTTTTCCAGGTAGACCAGAAGGATTTTGTGTCCATGCCCAAGAGTGGCCCTCAGCTACCCACCCCACATGGGTCTTCTTTCCCAACTAAAGAAACCAAGCAGTTTTCCCAGCCTGAAAGCTCTTAGATGAAATCCTATCAGCACGTAGTTTCCATTTGTAGAAGGAAGGGGCGTTGACAGATGACCCACAAAGCTCAGGCATTCATATGCTTTAGTGTAGCTTAGTCCGTGAGCCACATGGGACCAGTGAACTCACCAGACACTTGTCCAGCCCCCTGGGACCTGCCAGCAGCCTCTGCAGGTGTTTCTTCTGTGGGTCGGTCTCGGGCTGCCAGGTGGACGGTGGTGGCTTCTGACACATGCCTGGCAGTGAGACAGCGGCCTCCCTTGGGCGCCTTCATGGTCACATGTATTCCTAGGTTGTGAAGAACAGGGACCACCAGAGTCCTGGCGGCTGACAATAAATCTCCGTTCTTTTGTCCACAGAGGATCAAATTCTCTCAGAACTTGGCCACACCAATAGGATTTATGGCAACGTGGGGGACGTTACAGGCGGACAGTTAATGAATGGGAGCTTCTCCATGGACGGGACAGGACAATCCTATCAGGACTTGAGAGACGGGAGCCCCTATGGAGTCCCCCAATCTCCCTCCTCCATATCGTCCCTGCCATCCCACGCTCCTTTGCTCAATGGGCTGGATTACACGGTGGACAGTAATTTGGGCATCATTGCGCATGCGGGGCAGGGAGTGAGCCAGACGCTGAGAGCCATGGCTGGGGGACCCACCTCTGACATCTCCACAGGAAGCAGTGTAGGCTATCCCGACTTCCCCACGAGCCCAGCCTCTTGGCTCGATGAAATGGATCATCCTCCTTTTTAAACATCTCTCCTCCCCACCCTACCCATCCTGGCCTGAAAGAATATCTTCAAGGATCAAAAGAGACTTGCCTTTTCAGGATCAAAAGCGCGCCAATGTGAATTTCCATTATTTTCAATGGAAGTCGTCCGCTGATCCCTAGGCGGGCGAGAGACCAGACCACGCTAGGGCCCTGTTATCCTGCGGGTGTCGTGGGAAGGCAGCCTCCTCTCAGAACACGGCACAGGGGCGCAGAGCCTAGAGCGCTAGGGTGCTGCTTGGTGGCTTCCTACCCCCACCCTGCTTATAGGCTTTGGCTGCTCGGTGCTTGGTAGCACGAGGTGACTGTCAGGCCACCTTGGCCTTTGGGAACTCTGCTCCGACTGGTGTCTCATGAGATGCCTCCCAAACCACTGCTCTCACCACAACTGAGATCCCTGAGGTAGAGGAGGCATGGCCCTTGAGTATAATAAAAGTGATTTCTGGACCACCGTATTGAACTCTAATTTTGAAAATAAAAAGTCACTTATTAATGGTCAGTGAAAACTCTGATGGCCACCATTTGATATTGGAAACGTCCCCTTCTTCTTCTTCTTTTTTTTTTTTCTATGAAAAATATGCCTTCTTTCCTGCCCAGAAGTACAAGCCAGACAATATTTGTCAGTTTTGGTTTTTAAGAAATCCCATCCCTATCACTGAACCCCTGATGGCAAGAAGTGGTTTTCCTTGCAGGTGACTCAGGCTGGAGCTGAGTGGCCCTGGACCATCACAGCGACTGCCCGACGAGTCCCCTCGGTGCACACTGTGCCTTTTTAATTTGCTCATATCATTTATTCCACAACGCAGGCTGTGGGTTACACAGTGGTCAAAGCTAGAATATGGAGAGAACAGATCGACAATCAGTGCAAACGTGCAGGCGCATTTGGATTCTAAACGTGCAGGCCGCTTAGCTGCGTCAGCGGACGAGCCTCCCTGAGCTCCCCACCCCGCAGGCTGCACCGGCCCGAGTCTGCTTGGCGGGAGCTGGTGCAGACGAGCTTGCCAGCCCATCCCACCGGCAGCCAGCCCACCCCAGCCCTTGAGAAATGAGAGCTTTCTCTGGGGTAGCTGACTCAAATTGGACAGTTTTGGTGTCTTCCAAGAACTAGTAGCGTGTTTTTGGCCCATCTTGCTGGAGAGGATCACTAGGGAGCAGCCCTAAGATCGCCCGAAGGGTTCCAGGTGGTTCTCTGGCTGCATTTCTCTGGGCTGCTACCGCAAGTCCTCCTTCATGCCCCGCACCTCTGTCCGTCAGCGAGTTCTGCAGCGCACCCCACGGGGCAGGAGCCGGGTGGCAGTCGGTCCCCTTGGGAAACGGTGGTCGGCTTCTTCTGGCCTCCATCTTCTTAAACAAGAGAGTAGGAAAAGGTACGCAGGCATTGCCTCGCTATCACATGAAGTGACGGGCCAGGGAGCCTAAGGGTGCTGGCCCCTTCTGTGAGTGCTTTGTCCCGCTCTGAGGTCCCTGGGATTCAGGCAGCTGGTGGGCAGGCTAAAGGAAGCCTAAAACACCCCACTTTGGCTGCTGGGTCTGCTACAGGCGCCTTCCCAGGACTAAACTGAGGCCAGTCAGGCTTTGAAATGCGTAGTCCGTGAATTCCTGGGATTAGCCTTCTGGCCACCTTTGCTCTCATCAGTTGGGATTGTCCCCTTACTTTCTGGTGCGCTGCAACTGCTATGACTTTTGCCCGGAGAGTCCGCAAACCTAGACTTCTTCAGGCTCCAGATGTGGGGGTGGGGCTGTGTCACACCGAGCCAGGTTGCTCCTGGGGATTCCACAGTGGTGGGAACGCCGGGAGCGGGAGTGGGGACACGCACGGAAGACGATAAGCCGTGTGAAGGAAAGGAAGACACAACTGTCCCTTGGAGGCCAGCTGCTTCCAGCCAGTGTCTGCAGGCTGCTCACGGGACGCAGGAGAGAGACGGTGTTGGGCTGTGGACCAGTGACCAACTGTCCCACCCTCACCAGTATCTCGGCCTGACCGGCCTAGGGACTCCCAGGACTTCAGAGCCACTTCCCAGGTTTGGCGCGTACAGCGCAGGGAGGGCGCGCTCTCTGGAGAGACAGACCCCCTCTGTGTGTGGCGCTGGTTTTTTAAGATCAACTGAAGTTGACCTGTTTTGGGGTTTGTAAGTGACTTCCTCACGCTCATTCCCCGATTCGGGGGCGGTGGGAGAAGGGCTCCCGGTTCCCACCAGGAGCATAACGTCCCCTGTACCCAGACGGCAGCGCAGTCGATGGCGGTAGCAGCCTCTTGGGTTTGGGGGTGGTCGGCCGGCTTGAAGAGCCCTTTTGAGAGCACCGGCCAGAAAGCCGGGGAGACTGCATGACGTTCCCTACAGCCCCCTCCCCAGAAAGCGGCAACATTGGTGCCTCACTTAGCAGTACAGCCCCCAGAGGCCTCCGATTTGAGGGGGGTCTCCTCACATGTGAGGCTGGCGTGTGGCTGGGCCAGGGCCCCACGGAGCCACCGCAAGCCAAGACGATTCCTTGGCTCCTCCGTGGCTCATCGCCTTGATGTTCTCCTAAAGGCACTCAGCGAGCGCTCACTGTGCTCATACGCTAATACCCTAGGAACCCTCTACTACCGAGGGATAAGTGCTACATGGGAGCAGTTTCCTCCTTGCTAAAACGATACGGATGAATTTTTCAAATGAAACGAGAACTTCTAAAGGCATTTACAATATTTGGATCTGTCTTTGGCTCTAAGAGGGCAATGAGCTAGCAACCGTTATCTGCAGCGCCTCATAGACCTTAGGGTAGGAATCCCGGAGCCAATTAAAGTCAGAGAGAGAAACAAACTCCCCACCTCTCAAGTTTCCAGGGATAACTGGTGTGAGCAAAAATGGGGCCCGAGTGGCTATGGAAGGATCTACATTTGCTGAGATGTTTAAGAAAAGCGTAGAGGAAATCCCAAATCCAAGGGCTAAGCCGGCCCTCTGGGTAAATCACGTTGCTGGGGAGTCTGGCTCCTTTCAGGGACTTGCTGGGCAAACTCAAGGCCAACTCCGCTCCATCTTCGTCCTTTCTCTTTCCTGCCCCATCTGGTAGTCAGGACTGTAATGTAGAATGAAAATCAGCGGCTGTACGTTATCACGTTACTCCTGTGAATGAATAAACATCAGGGAAAGAGAACAAGACCCAAGACAAGCATTTTGGAGTGTCTTTAAAAGTTGGTCTTTTGTTTCTGTTTTGTTTTGTTTTGGTTTATTTTTGAGCGTGAAACATGAAATCTAGTAAGATCACTGGGGCCATTAGATCTTCATACTGAAGCTCACGTTGCAGAAAGTGTAGCTAGAACAAAGGACATTAACGTCTCTGAAGCTCAAGCTGGTTATTTTGAGATAACTGCCTCCTTGCAGGACGGGCTCTAAGGCCTCAGCCGAGCAGCAGTGCCCGCTGACGGTGCACGTCTGGCCCCCCAGGCTCCTGCGTGACCCCTCCCACGCACCCCGACTGACATCTCGGTTATATCCTCGGAAATAACGACCACACCTCTTCAGCCAGCAGTGGCTGGAAGGCCTGAGGAGGCTCATTTTTAAACACTGCACTTTAAAAATTGGAAACCGTGACATGAAGAAAAATTCAATTAAGCGGAAATGAGTTTTGTTTTATTGGCCGCTGCTGACGGGCTCTGGGCATGCTGAAAGCTAAATAAAAAAGCACATCACTGTCTCTCTCTCGGATTGGTCAGTTGGCCCTTTTTGCAGTAGTTGCTCCAACTGCTCTAACATGGTGACTGGAGCCAAAGAGAGAGAGCGCGGCAAAGCCATCCCATCCACACACTGCTTGGTAGGACCCCACGGAAAGCACAGTTTCCTGCTGCTAGCTCTGGTGAGGAGGCAGCTGCAGGTCTGGGAGGTGTGCCAAGCATTCCTTTCCTTAGGGAGGCAGAGCACAGGTGGACAGAGGAGGATACCCCCGCTCTCGTCTGCTGCCCACCTAGAGACCAGAATCATGTGTATGTCCCCACTCGAGGACTGTGTGCAGCCAAACGCGTGGGTTCAGGGCTGCAGGGACCCAGAAGCTGCTCTGAACTTGCATTCAGACCTCAAAGCCCCAGATCCCCTAAGCTCTGGATTGTGGCCCTCACCCTTGGCAGTGTAAATTTTGTACAGTTAAAAAGAAATGAAGTCTCATTTCCTGGGGGAAAAAAAAAAAGAACAAAAAAAGGACCCACCCATCCTTATTTATTGCCATGTGACTTTGGAACACAGAAGCTGGTGCGTTTGTTTGTATACGCCTCCTTTGTGTTGGCATGAGATGTGTATGGTAAAATTATGTCAAATAAATATGGAAATTCTTTAGAAGCGGATGTGTCTTGCTTTTTCATTTTGGTTCTCTGGATGTTTTTTCTCTTGATATAATTAGGACAAAAAGCCAAGCTGACATGGGGTCCTTTCACCACTGGAAAGAAACCCAAAATACAACTCTGAATGCCAGGACGACTTACAGCCATCAATACCAGAAGTACCCAGGAAAGGTTCGATTAGAGGAAGTGCTCTGGCTTTGCTGACAGCAATTTTCTGGATTCCAATCCTCTGCTTCTAAACTTAGGGGATGGGCAGAGAAAACCCACTGGCCACATAATCTTAGTTAATGTTTGTCCTGGTGCATTTTAAAAGTGGTTCCCACTTCAACATTTTCTCCCTAGGGAAAGTATGTGCAAACATCTATGTTTGGGTGAGAGGTGCACAGGAGGATAGAAACACCTCATCAGAGTTATCCGGGCTCCTTGATGAGCTTTTCTAGAAGAATCTTCAGGTTTGTCCTCTGCCAGAGGCTTTATTAGTGTGCAGGATCTGAAGGTTGGCTGGAATGAAAAAAGCAACACAGCTTCTTTCATTAAAAAAAAAGAAAGAAAAGAAAAAAATTGAAGTCCTCCTATTTCTTTAGAGCTGGGTTTCCATCTAGGAAGAACTAGAGTGCTTTTTCCATTAGTGATGAGTTTTATTTGAAGAGAAGATCCCAAACAGGTGCACTG